GTTTGCTTGGATATTAGAAATTTCGAGAAATGAACATTGTTTTCTGCAAAAACTTTCAGGAAAGTCGAACAGCATTATGTACCTACTTATGGGAAAAATTGTAAACTTTTTCTAGTTTCACCGATACCTCTTCTCGAGCCCAATATCAATTGAGATAGGGATTTGCTGTTCAGATGTTTTCCTTCTAAGTAAAACTCAGCCATTATTATTTTCATAGGATTCTGTTCCTAAAAAGAAGCATCCGCTTTGGACTATTTCTTTTGAGGACGACAGCCTCACTATAACATATTCATTCATTAATCGTTCTTGCCTTCTTTATTCCAAAATGTCACCTAAACCGATCATTTTTTTGTCTAATTATTCCATTGTACTAATTCAAACAACCAGCATATGATTCATACGACACTGACAGTACACTCACGCAAATGATTTCAGCCGGCTCCAAGTCTAGGGAGAAACGGCGGATTTCGTACTCCCGGGATTCTCTGGATTCCGATCGTACTCACTGGATTCCCATCGTACTCCCGAGATTCCCATCGTACTCCCAGGATTCCCATTGTACTCCCAGGATTTTCAATATATTTCTAGAAATCTTAAGGAGTCTAGAAATCTTCGACAGTCTGCCAGGATTATACATCAATAGAAGCATGAATTTTTTCATCCAATATACTAAAAGATAGAACATCAAAGGCTGAAAAAAATCAGCTATTTCAGATGCCATATGTCATCTATTTACAAGCATTATTTAGCCCAATATGAATGGAAATTATCTAGATTTACGAGTCCATGACGGTCGATTTTTTGCAGTATATCTGCTGCCATTTGTTAAATCAAGCTAGTCCAAGCTGGAATTTTTATATGTTATAGAGCTTTTGATTCTCTACAGTTTGGTAAAAAAACATATTGAAAAAAGTTTACCTTCGAGCTGATTTAAGGTTTACAATGCTAGCGTTTATAGCGGAAATTTGTTATTCTATCGTATAAGCCATATCAGACCGAACCGTTTCACTGGGATGTTTTGTCCTTAATTAGACATCATCATATATGATTGAGAAGCATGTATTTAGATCTACATTTTTTGTACTAAATAGATAAGAATATATACAATATCAGTGGCTTCACATAGAAGTACAAAATACTAAGAGAGTTATGGGTAAATCTGTGTATGATCGAAGTACTGATCAAAATTTGATTGTTCGATTCAATATCTTCATTTAAATTTGTATTGTTTAGAACTCTTAAAGGTCAATTTTTAACATTTAAGGTAATTCTTTTCAAAAGTTAGTCAAGATCGATCATCTGATGACTTCTCATTCGCTGTCGAAATAAATATATGAGATTATTTTCAAACATTTGGGCATTACAATGTTAGCAGAAAATGAAACAATTTTTCTCAAAATATATCAAGGGAGCCCCTCAGAAACCAACTTTGTTATTTTTCATCCGATTTCAACCAAAGTTTCAGAGGATGTTAGTCTAGGCTAGAAGAGATTATGGTTAATATATCTCCTCAAAACCTCCAATAAACTAATGAGTTATAGTCAATTTATTGGTCAAAAGTACCCTGTACGCGGGCAAGGATTTCACAGTAAGAATGTGAGCTACCACGCCCGGGCGGTTCTCAAGTTGTAGAGTACCCTTAGGGCTAGATCCTCCGAGGACCCGATTTTTGAATTTCCCTTTGTTTGTTTTTTAAAACCCTTTTTCGTAAAATTCACGAAATCATGCCCAAAAAATTGCTACTAAAAAGTAAAATATCTAAGATTTTTATTTCACCAAAAGAGGAATTCAAAAGTCGGATTCTGGGAGGATCTAGCCCTACCTGTCTACTATGCATTAAAAAAAATCATCACTTCTATAGTGAGTCATTATGAAGAAAACCTTGGCCGCATAAACAGTATGCTCGAAAAAATTGATTTTGAGAAAAACGAAAAACAAAGTTTTTTGATGTAGTAACTGTCTCTATTCGAAATAAATCTGCTTATCTACCTAATGTATTTGCACTATTCCTGAAGCTTTATTGATGGCGTGTACGTGGATATATCATAATACGGTTAGAGGTACATATCATGCCTAAATTGTGGTCATGAGTCCTTATATATAGATGTCACTGCATGTCACACATGTTTTTATCAACTTTTTTGTTAATGATACTTTCATTCTTTTGTTTGACCGAGAGAGCTGAAATTTTGATGATATATATAACTAATCAAGATCTTTTAGTTCTGAAAGTTTCAGCTCTATAACTATGACTAATGGTAAAATACATAAGTTTTCGTACTCGATTTTTGCTGAAAAATGAGGCAAGAATCGAGTACGAAAACTTGTGTATTTCACTTTGATCGATGTATTTTATCATTAGTCATAGCTATAGAGCTGAAACTTTCAGAACTAAAAGATCTTGATTAGTTGCATATGCCATAAAATTTCAGATCTCTCGGTCAAACAAAAGTATGAAAAATATCATTAATACTGTATCCTCAGTTATTATGAAACACCCTATATGCCTCAGTAGCACATCCTCAGAAAAAAAATTCGCCAGAAAAAAAGACGAATGTACACGTTTTGGCGAAATAAATTATGCTAGGTTGTAGTTCATTACAGGGGCTATCAGAATATGTATAAATCTCAAAATCGAGTTTTTTTCGAAAAAATGACTTTTCTGAGGAGGCCCTTAAATGGTGGAAAATCAAAAGGTGAATAAAATAATCTATTCAGCTATTATATGTAATAGTATTTATTCTGTTTTATTAGTCTAATATTTGCTAAAGTTTGTATTTTGACAAATAATAACAATGGATATGGAAGTTTGTCCATCAATGATACTTAGAAACGATAGAAATGACGAATTTCATGATTTCATCATATATAGTAGAAAACAAATTCGAGAGATTACTGCTCTTCTATAAAGTTATACACGAAGAATAAAATCATACAGTGCTCACTTTCTATTCATCGAAGATATTTGATATTCACCATCCTGAAGAATATAACTCTTGTAACTCTTCTTTCATATGAATTTTCGTTTTACTTTTTTTTAATATATCAAAGTTCAAGTAAATTACTAACTGCACAAGGAAAAGCATCTGTTGTTCAATATTTCTATTATATACTACGACAATACTTCTACACCTTGATTTAGGATCTATCTGGTTGGTGTTTTCCACATATTAACACGTTTTTCTCTATGAAATTAAGTTCAAAGCACTAAGCAAATGAAAATATACCTTGCTTTTTGTGACACAGATTTAGATCATTGTTGTCTTCTATGTATGTTCCTAGTAGGCTTTTGGAATTATCATCGTACTCCCAGGATTCCCATTGTACTCCCGGGATTTTCACTGGATTTTTAGGGATTCGGAATCCCAAAAATCCGCCGTTTCTCCCTAGCTCCAAGTGATGTTAAATATTTCATTTGATACAATATGGGATTTCAATGAACTAAAATTCACTATTATCGCAGAAGTTGTTTTACGACGGCAGTTATCTTTATTAAAGACATCGCTCAAAATGGCCAAATTTTTCGTGTGATTTTAGTAAACAATCCTGTTCGAGCGTCTTGTAACTATATAGATGAAACTACTGCATCATGTACAGGGCTTCTCAAAATTTTAGCTCCCTCTTTTGTCGTTGATATTTTTCAATGAAGACGAATAGCTAGATCGAATCTAAATAGTGATTTCGATAGTCATTAAAGTTCTCTATCGAAAACAGTGTAGATCGAGATCCATAAAGAAACTTCCCTTAGAAAGTTTTTAGAAAAAAACGAAGTGCTTCGGAATCAAGTACGAGAGGCAGTTGAGAGAAACAATTTAAAATATTGGCATCTGAAAAACGCAAAAATTTCTGCGCACAATGTGGCGTCGCCCAGTTTCCCATAATGTTTTCTTATAAAGTTATAAGCATCCAAGAAGTGAAAAAAGCTTAAAAATTCATAAAAGATCCCTAAAACAAGCCTAAAAACATAGTTTTCTCGTTCATCTGATGCTTATAAGTTTATAAGCAAACATCACGGAGAACTGGGCGACACCTCATTCGGCTCGGAATTTTTCGCTCTTTCAGATGGCAATATTTTGAAACATTTTTTCTCCAGTGCCTCTGATACTTGATTTTGGGCCACTTCAGTTTTTGTAAAACTTTCTGAGGAAAGTTTTTTGGGATTTTGATTTATACTGTTTTCCATAGAGAACTTGCAGGACAATTGAAATCAGGATTTACATTTCCTCTAGCTATTCATCTTCATTGAAAAATCTCAACGACAAAAAGGGGCCCATACTTTTGACAATCCCTGTACAAGAACACTATTCAAAAAAGCTATGATACATTTGTAAATATGGGGTTCGATCCTTAATTGAGTTACGACAGCCAGTATCACGCGTCACACGATTATCCAATAATCAAATTTTCAATCTAATTGTAATATGATGATGCCTAACTCGATTCTCAACAAGTTCTTTCTAGTACATATCATAAAATGTTTAGTTTAGTTTAGTTTAATCTAGGATATCCCCTATGGAACGAAATACAAACTAAGAATATTCATATATTCCGAAGAAGTTTTTAAAAGTCTATTCGTCTTCTTTTCCTTTCGCACAAATGACATTTTCATCGATACCCATCCTCTTGTTAATGTTTTTTGTCTTATAAGTCGCGGTATCTTGAGAGATTATAAAGTCTCAGAATGGACAAGCTCGGAACTTTGAAGGCTACAAAGAGAAAATTATCGTTTCCCAAAAATGACAATCTTGCTTTTTACTGCTATTGACTTCCTAATTTTTCTTTACCTCTGGAATCTAATAAAAAACTGTCAGCGATGGAAAATTGAACACTTGAAACTTTCACGTGAAGTTTGATTGCTTTTTGTTCTTTCAATAGCTACTTCATCAACTGTACAATCGACTTATGCATCCGCTTTGACTTCCTCTAGTCAGAGCTATTGCCGTGAAGCCGTCTGTTCAGGATCAAGCTATTTTTATCAAGCCTTCCAAGTGAATGTTTCCATGAGTGGAACTTATGCTATCGAAACTTCCAGTAGCATGGATACATATGGTTATTTATACAATAATACGTTTGATCCTGCTTCTATAAGTACGAATCTCTTGGCAGAGAATGATGATGGTCCCAGCAGTACCAATTTCCAGATCTCGATATATCTTCAAGCTCTGACACGATACATTGTGGTTGTAACAACATATGATCCAAGTACAACAGGAACATTTTCAATTGTTGCAAGTGGTATAGCATCGGTTATATTTTCTCCAATAAATTCATCAAGTAAGAACTCAATTTATTTCAGAGAACTTCCTTAAGCAATCGAAATAATTGTTCCAAGATGAATTTGTACAGTTACAGAGATCATTGAATGTGTTATTGTAAAGTAATGCATTTGAGTTTAGGCAAAAATGTTCGTTGTGAGGTATATAAGTAATTACAAACTTTGTTAGTATTTTTTAGGAGTCATACTTCGAAACAGAGACCGTCACAAGGCATTTTTGTTTTGGCCCTGTCCTGCCCTGCTTTCGGGACAAATAAACTGAGGTCGACTATGCAATTGGTTGTTAGGCTTACAAGTAGCGCTCATCCTATAGATTCGCTAATGCTTTCCTGAAAGAATGATACTTCATTGTGAAATAAAGATAATTTTATTCTGAAACTTTTTTGCAAAATCATCAAAAGCTGATGATACCATGGGGTTTGCCGACTCGAAACTCGTTGATGAAAATTTTTACGAAACATTAAAGACTAATCTTATCGGTCAAGCCATTGCTATTTTCTGATCGGTTAGGACAAACAGATAGATAGACAGACAAACTTTAAAGATATTTACGGCCGTATAACCCTTTCTTTGAAAAAAGGTAATAAAAAATATTGTTCTTATTTGAATTCAGGGCTCATATTTTTTTAATACAATTTGAAAAGAAAACTATCCATGTATAATAATAATCATGGATCCCCGTCAAAATTATTTGAAATTATACAATTTTTCATCTATCAGAATCCGATTTTGAACCTGTATTTTTTTCGAATTTTTAAGATTTTATCAAACTATTTTGCCAGTGAAATTCAATGACAAATTTTAATTAATTAAAATCGACAGATCGTTTTAATCTATTAGAAAAAATTTTAGAAATAACGCTTGATAATAAAAAATGATCAATCTTGACGAGTGAAAATCCGATTATAACCGAGTAAAAATAGTATCATTTCAATTCATTCTTGGTGAAGACATTATGCTTGTTGATTTAAGATCTTGCTTTTTTTGAACATGGATGCAAGACTCTACTAGTATATTAATACAATAGCAAGATATCTGTCAATAAAGCTAGTGATTCTTTGTGACTGAATATCCTTATTTAATTGATTCAAAGTTTTTCATCCCTATTTAACATTGGATTGAGATTCACTTTTTTAATTATTTACTTGACTTCTTTACGATTCGATGATAGGTGTTCAATCTTCTTGGAATAGAAATAGATCACATTGAACATGATGAATTAGAATGAATATTATACATGGAAGTTCTATGAACTCAATGTAAGCATAAAAATCATCACTAGCTGGTAGAATTACATTGACATGATAACTGATATCAAAGATTCATGTTTGAATTTAGTAAATAATTTCAAATTACTTTTTATAAAGAAAATGTAACTATACAAAAGATTAAAGATTTTAATTAAGAAAACATGTATAACATGATGCTTAATATATAATTTACTAGAACATCCCTAAGCTGATGACGGTATCTGCTTTGAAAATATCGCTTCCTTGTCAGTTCGAATGATTATTTAAAGTTTGTTGTTTTTGGTATTTTGTCTTAATAATATTTATTCCTTGTTAATTCCTTAAAAGTAGCATTTCAACTCTTTTATATTTTTTGCTCAATAATCGAAATATAAATATCTCACAAAAATCATATTTTCATTTCATCTAAAAACTCCTACTTCCATAACGCATTAAAATTTTCTTTACATACAAAGCCCAATATTTCAAACTCTCTGTACTATACGTATGTTCTGCTCTTTCTTATTAAAAATATGACGTTCAACATAGTGGATAAATCAATGAACACATTATCTGCTAGGAGACCACACTAACAGATTCGAACCTCTACTTCTCAAGCTTCGTTTTCTATTTTCGTTGTCAAAATCTAGCATTGCGGCCGCTCTATATTTTCTACAATGCTTGTAGTTTAAAATTCCTTCTATAGTGTTCCAATTTTCAAGAATTATTTTGTATGTTCCTATATTTTTCGAAACGAAAAAAAATTTTGACGAAAACTGTCACATGTCTCAGAAAAAGTTAACTTACGTTTTGATGTCAATATTATCATTGGTGTCTTTAACACAATGCATGGATGAAAGTGATTCTACATACGAATATAACTCATTTTCTATTTTTCATAAGGTGATAAAAGGAATGTCATTTAATTACCTTTTTGTTGATTTTATAATGATTCTTGCAGCAAATAAGTGATCCTCTTTTTATAAAATGTAATCTATGAAGATGTTAATGTATACAAATGAAAATTTAAATCCTACCTTTTCTTAAGGAACATATAGCAGAGATCAAATGAGAAAACTATTTAAAGCATTCTTGATAGAAAGTCATTCTTCGTTTTGTATCGTATTTAATGTGCTATCATATGAGGTAAGATTCAACTTACGTTAGTTATACATCATTGAAAAGACAAAATATAAGCTCAAGAAGAAAACTTTTATCGCATGATTCTCTATAGTGCTCCCTTTCCATCGAAATGATAGTTACGATGAACATGATACATAACAGACTGTGAAATATATCTGAGTAATATCGCCTCCTTGTTAATCATAAAACTTGAGAACGATTCGAGTAACGCCTCTTCTTCATCTTATGCTGTGGTAGTTATTTTCCTGTGACTGCTTAGTCCTCATAGATTATGCCAGGCATATCTACGAGACGAATGTCTATTTCAGAATTATCATAAAACACAATCGAAAGCACGAAGTTATTCTTTATCTTTCTTTCACAATCACTTAACTATTTTAGGAATACCAGGTTTAATCCTTCACACTGGTTAATAATAAGTACCGATCAATAGACTGAAGCACATGTTGATCAATATCTTCTGTATAATGACAGCAACCACATCTCTTTTCACACTTGAATCTCGCTGAACTCCTCGTAACAACTTTCTGTACTTGTACACATTTTTATTATTTACTTTAATATGTGTCAAATACTATAGCAGAAATGAGACGACATTTTTTTATGTAAACAGATACAAAAAAAGAAATATTTTCTTATGCTCTTTCACCAACTTGAACTTTTTAATAACGATATGAATGTGTATATGTGGCACAATTGGAAAATTAATTTAAGACAGTACTTTTCGTTTCTTCAAAAAATACATTGTTTACTTTCTTGTTTTTCGACAGCATGGCGCAATTTTTTTCATTTGTATTGCATGAGTTAGCATGGAGAAAACAAAAGCCTACAATTTGTCACATTTTTTCAGTGTTCATTGGGTATCTGAAAACGATCCTTAGTAAAGACTAATTTCCTATATATTTCCTATTTAATTATAAAAACAAATTCTATCTAAATGGTTCTTTTCAATTCCTATATATTCTCATAGAG